GTCCCAGCTACTTGGGAGGCAGAGGCAGGAGACTTGCTTGAGCCCAGGAGTTGGAGGTTGCTGTGAGCTGTGAAGCCATGGCACTCTACCCAGGGGGATAGCTTGAGGCTCTGTGTCAAAAAAAAAAGCAAATTTAGCTAAAGTAATGCCTTCTGCTACATTACCCTACAGCAAGAAGGACCTCACCAATTGCAACCCCTTTCTCTTAGATTTCCCAGCTTTGGAAACCCTGGACCAAATAAACTATTGTTTGTAAATTACCTAGTCTTTTGAATTCTGTTATAGCAGCACAAAACAAAGACAACTACAAATGTCACTGAGAGAAATTTAAAAGACTCACATAAATGGAAAGATTCACTGTTGTTGTACATCAGAAAACTTAAGAAATCAAGAACTAAATTCTCCCTTAATTGATCTATAGATTACAATTCCAATCAAAATCCAGCAGGCTTTTTGTAGAAATTGACACAGGGAGCCTGGGGGTGATGGCTCATTGCCTGTAATCCTAGCACTTTGGGAGCACTAAGGGAGGAGAATGGTCGGCCAGTTTGAGACTAGCCTGAGCAAAATAGCAAGACTGTCTCTACAAAAAATTAAAACATAGCTAGCATGGTGGTACACAAGTGTAGTCCCAGCTACTCAGAGGCTGAAGCAGGAGGATTACTTGAGCCCAGGAGTTGGAGGATATAGTGAGCTACAACTTCCTTGTTAGTATAGTGATGAATTAAAAAAAAGAAGGGGTGGGGAGGAACCAGCTATGCCTGGGCCATTTTACTACAGCCTGGGTGATACAGTGAGACCCTGTCTCTAAACTAAAATGAAATAAAAACAATTAACTCATGTGGAAGGGTCAAACAGCTTTGAAGAAAAGGCAAAAATGGCTTACGTTATGTAGTTTCAATGTTTACTATAAAACAGCAATGATCAGGGCAGTCAAGTATTGGCAAAAAGGTAGACAAACATCATCATGGTTGATTGGTTAAAAACTGAAAGATGTGGATCAGCACACACGAGACCAAAGTGTAACAGAGGCTGTAATGTTTATTTTATTTTGACACTTGAATGCAAGTGGGCTAAGAGCTAAAGGATATTAGTAGGGCTTAGGGAGGGAGGCAAGTCTTTTATAGTTGACTGAGGGGCAGCTGGTTTCTATCAAGGACCACTCAGCTATTCTTATTAGGGTGTTAGAGTGTCAGGCTTACAGTGTCAGCGTATTTCTCATGGGGGTGGGGAGGTGCAAGGTATGGAGTCTGCAGTTGGGCTGAGGGGGGGTCTGTAATTGCATTGGTGCAAGGACATGATGAGTCTGCAGCATCTCTCTTAGCCGAGTTATGACCACCTGTAACAGAGGCTCACAGAAGGGCCTTTTCAGTTCAAGATGGTGTTAGCTTGAACACCCTAACAGTTGTAACACAGCAGAGCATCCAGAAATAGAGGCACATGTATATTGATAATTGGTTTTTAACAGTGGTTCAAAGCAAAATTCAAAATGGCTTTGACCTTTTAAGAAGCAACCCTAGAAATTGTTGAGAGGGAAAAACACGTTTTCAATCTAAGTGAATATATAATTAGTCAAGAAATAGCAATTAAAACAATTGGGTAAAATCAAGATAATTTTAGAAAATAGATTCTAGCACAGGGCAAAGGGAAGGATGTTGTAGGGCAGCAGCTGTGCAGGAGGCCTCTGCATGAACTGCTGTAGGTTAGAGCAGGAGATAGAGGGAGGTGTCCAAGGAAAGGAACTGATTTGTTTGCATTTATAGAGAATATTATTGATAGATGTGGGGCAGAAATGTTACAAAAATAATTTATAGTGAGACCATAGAAAAGCTGGGTAGTTTCATAATGTAGCAGTTAATAGGCCGGGCATGTTGGCTCATGCCTGTAATCGTAACACTCTGGGAGCCTGAGGCAGGTGGATTGCCTGAGCTCAGGAGTTTGAAACTAGCCTTGGCTCGGCGTCTTTGGCTCAAGTGGGTAAGGCGCCAGCCACGTACACCCAAAGTGGCGGGTTCGAATCCAGCCTGGGCCCGCCAAACAGCAATGACGGCTGCAACCAAAAAATAGCTAGGCGTTGTGGCGGGTGCCTGTGGTCCCAGCTACTGGGAGGCTGAGGCAGGAGACTCGCTTGAGCCCAGGAGTTGAAGGTTGCTGTGAGCAGAGATGCCATGGCACTCTACCCAGGGGGACAGCTTGAGGCTTCTGTCTCAAAAAAAAAAAAAAAAGAAAGAAACTAGCCTAAAAAAGAGTGACACCCTGTGTCTACTAAAAAAAAGAAAAACTAGGAGGGCATAATGGCACACACCTATAGTCTCAGCTACTCAGGAGCTGAGGCAAGAGAACTGCTTGAGCCTAAGACTTTGAGGTTTCCGTAAGCTATGATATTATGACACTCTACTCAGGAGGACAGAGTAAGACTCTGTATCAAAAAAAGAAAGAAAGAAAAGAAAAAAGAAAAGATAACAGTTAATAATGCCAGTACAGATGAAGGATTAGGGTTTCACAAGATAGGAGATACCTCCCTTTTATAAACACTTATCTTTGCAGTGTATGTTATTTATGTAATCATAATGTAAGTTTTAACTTCTGGATGAATATAGCTGGATGAAAATTGGGTTTGATATGCTTCATTTTCCAAATTGTTCTGTATCTGAGATGTGCTTTTTTATTTATGAGAGAACTAATGCTCAGAGGGCATTTCTCTTCTGCTTGTGCCCTTTTATTCAGGGTGGTGCTGGTCAGTCCTGTACTACTTGATTAGGACACTATCCGGTTGTCCCCAGCAATGCTTTATGTCAGGATAGTTACTTCATTTATCAGTTTCCTATCAAGCCAGTGTTTTTAGGGGAAATCTTTTTTCTATAGGTAATTTTGTTCCTCTTATTTTTTAGGAAAAATAAACATATAAGTGCCTAATTATTAACCTTATTTAAATAGGCTAATTTTGTTTTGTTTTTAATTCCTTCTAGGAAGTAAAAAGAAAGAGAAGGAACGGCCAGAAATTTCTCCTCCATCTGATTTTGAGCACACCATCCATGTTGGTTTTGATGCTGTTACTGGAGAATTCACTGTAAGTTTATCTATTTGTGGTCATTTAAATATTAAAATACCACTTATTTTCCTTTGTTATTAAAACTGAATTTAACTTTTCTATGCATATGTTAACAGAATTCTTCTTTTCACTTGTGATAAGTATTAATAGCTGGGTTTATCTTTTTCCTAGAGAGCTTAGCCTATTCATTATAGTTATGCAAAGTAGATTTAGAGAAATAGACCCTTAGGAGAAACTAGGCCTTTTAGAATTTAGTCAAATTTAGAATCATGTAAATTAGTTTTATGTATTTTGTCATTTATCTCTAAAAATTGATTTTATTCAAGCAATTTAAACCAGAACTAATTTTGGGATATCTTTTTGTTAGGGCATGCCAGAACAATGGGCTCGATTATTACAGACCTCCAATATCACCAAGCTAGAGCAAAAGAAGAATCCTCAGGCTGTCCTTGATGTCTTAAAGTTCTATGACTCCAACACAGTGAAGCAGAAATATCTGAGCTTTACTCCTCCTGGTAAGATACTGATAATAGCTGAATCAAATGGAGAGTTGTGCAGTACTTCCAGATAAAAAAAATTACATCTGGGAGGGGAAAAAAAAAAGATTACTTCTGGAAAAATAAAAGACTCTGTTTCTTGTGATTGCTATCTCTGCCTTTTTCTCTGTATAGATTCTGCCTTTTGTAAACTGGGAAGTTCTAAGTATAATTTGGATCTGGGGATTATATTAGTCTCATAGCTTTGCCAGAAATGGAGTTGATAAATGTTTACATGATCTTTTTTTTTTTTGAGACAGAGCCTCAAGCTATCTCCCTGGGTAGAGTGCCGTGGCATAGCTCACAGCAACCTCCAACTCCTGGGCTCAAGGGAGTCTCCTGCCTCTGCCTCCCAGGTTGCTGGGACCACAGGCGCCCACCACAACACCTGGCTATTTTTTGGTTGCAGAGCTAGGTGTTGTTTGGTGGGCCCTGGCTGGATTTGAACCCGCCACCTTAGGTGTATGTGGCTGGCGCCTTAGCCACTTGAGCCACAAGCACCGAGCCTGTTTACATGATCTTCTGTTTATTTTTTCTCCTTACTGCCCTTTTTTTGGGAAAGAGTCTCACTCTGCCACCAGGGCTAGCATGCCATGGCTTCAGTCTAGCTCACAGTAACCTCAGACTCCTGGGCTCAAACAGTCCTTCTGCCTCAGCCTCCTGATTACCTGGGATTATAGGTATGCACCACCCTGCCTGGCTAATTTTTCTATATTTAGTGGTGATGGGGTCTCAGTTTACTGAGGCTGGTCTTGAACTCTTGAGCTCCATTGATCCCCCACCTTAGCCTTACAGAGTGCTAGGTTTACAGGCATGAACCACTGTGACTGGCCCTCTCCTTAACTGTTTTTGAATGACTTCCAGCAATAGAAGGAAAGGATGCTTAGCTGTAGACATGTTTTGGTTTTTGGGGTTGTTTTTTTTTACGGTATCTACAAACAATTTACTTATTTTTTGAGACAGAGTCTTACTTTGTCGCCCTTGGTAGAGTGCTAGGGCATCATAGCTCACAGCTACCTCAAACTCTCAGGCTCAAGTGATTCTCTTGCCTCAGCCTCCCAAGTAACTGGCACTACTGTAGACATGTTCATACTACGAATATATTTATTTTTCTCACATTTTAATAACCTGAATACAAGTATATTTATTGTTAGTGGGATAGGAGGAAGATTGTCTTACTATATGTATGTGCAGACTTTGAAATAAAATGTGTTTAAGTCCACTCAAATTGAAATTCACCAATTATATAACATTACAACTAAAAAAAATTATACCTCATATTTAGAATATAATCAGGTAAGAATTGATGGTATAGTGAATTTGTAAAAATAATTTACTCAAATCAGGATCAAAATAAAGTCCATACATTATAGTTCGTTGATATATCTCTTAGATCTCTTGATATTACAGCTCTGATTACCTGTTTGAGCTAAGAAAAAGGAAAAAAGGCTCAGTGCCTGTGGCTCCAGCGGCTAAGATGCCAGCCACATACATCTAAGGTGGCGGGTTCAAATCCCCAGCCCGGCCTGCCAAACAACAATGACGGCTGCAACCAAAAAGTAGCCAGGCATTGTGGCAGGCGCCTGTGGTCCCAGCTACTTGGGAGGCTGAGGCAGGAGACTTGCTTGAGCCCAGGAATTGGAGGTTGCTGTGAGCTGTGATGCCAGGGCACTCTACCCTGGGGGGGGTACAGCTTGAGGCTCTGTCTCAAAAAAAAGAATCTCTTTTGATATTTAGCCCTCTCCTTTTGTATGCTGGTTCTTAATCCTTTTTCTTGCAGTTTATTTGTTAAAAAAAACACAATCATATATCTTGTTCCCTCTGTTTAGATTTTGCTAATTTTTATCCTCAGGATGTCATTTAATGTGTTTTTCTGTCTCTGAAGTAATACTTGTATTTTTTTGAGGCAGACTCCCTTTTACTCTGGTTAGAGTACACTGATATTATCATAGCTTACCACACATTCAAACTCCTAGGCTCAAGCAATGCTCCTTGTTGCAGCCTCCTGAGTAGCTAGGACTAGGGGCCTGTACCCCCACACCCAGCTAATTGTTTTCCTTTTTTTTCCTCCTTTGGTAGAGACGTGGTCTTGCTTTTACTCAAGCTACTTTTAAACTCCTATGTAGCTTCAAACAAGCCTTCAAGCAAGCTAGAAGGCTAGGATTATAGGCGTGAGCAATGCACTTGGCCCATACATGTACTTTTTAAAAACAATATGACTGAGCTAAAATCAATCATATATGTGGTTTTAATTAATTAGACTTAATATGTTTACATCCTCACTGAAATAAAGGTCTCTTTGGAAGTCATCTTGACCTTTTTTGCTTTAGATCAAGTACATCTTGGGAAAAGGATAGACTTGTTTGTAGAACTTTTGGGTCTGTCAGTAAGTCTGATATAAAAAATTACTAAAAAAATTAGGAATTCTTTCAAAAACAACTTTTGACATGAAAGTGGTAGCCTTTTTCATCATATATAAATGTATATGAAAGTGCCTATTAAATAAGTTTACTGAAGTCTTTTAAAAAGAAAAAAATTATGTCAAGATTTTACTTTGGGCTCAGCGCCTATAGCTCAACTGGCTAAGGCGCCAGCCACGTACACCTAAGGTGGCGGGTTCGAGTCCCCAGCCCGGACCCGCCAAACAACAATGACGGCTGCAACCAAAAAATAGCCGGGCGTTGTGGCGGGCGCCTGTGGTCCCAGCTACTTGGGAGGCGGAGGCAGGAGACTCGCTTGAGCCCAGGAGTTGGAGGTTGCTGTGAGCTGTAATGCCACGGCACTCTGCCCAGGGGGACAGCTTGAGGCTCTGTCTCAAAAAAAAAAAAAAAAAAAAAAAGATTTTACTTTGTATAGTTACCATTGTCACAATGGTGTATTTCTCAGTAGCCACTTTTCTGGTGAAGGTATCTTTATGAATAAGTCTGTTTATTTTAATAAATACAGATTGATAAGTATATATGTAGTAAAATTCGCCCATTTAAAGTAGACTTAGACAGTTCTTACCCATAATAACTAAAAATAAAAGAAATACAATAAACAATTTAATAATTTTTCTAGTAAATTTACAATGTTTCATTAATACTTGAGATTCATTAGCTTGACATTATATAAATTCTTATTTGAATGCTGGTATTGTAATTTTTATCAAGAGTTAATTCAACTTAAAATTGGTTTAAGGACATTTCACTTGCTCTGCTTTATTTTTCTTTTATCATATAAACGTTTTATTTCTTGAACTGTTAACATTATTTTTTGTTTTATATTCAGAGAAAGATGGCTTCCCTTCTGGAACTCCAGCAGTAAGTTAATTGCATCACTTCTTATAGCTCTTGGTCTAATTTAGGTTACTCTGAACAGATCTCAGTTTTTATTTTGCTTTTTAAAATTAAAAAAGGGGTTCATTAGAGATAAATAACTATTTCATATGTGCTTTTAGCTAGCCACTTGATTAACTTTTGGTAATGTTTACAAATACAAATAGTCTAAATAACTTGTTAAACTATTCCTCCCCAACCCCAAATTCTCTTTCTGGATTTTTCTATGTAATGTAGACCATGGAAATGTACCAAATAATTGAAACTTGTCAAATCTTCAGAGTCATCTGATACTCTTGAGTTATCTGTAAACACATTTATCTCCTAAAAACAGTTACTGTTTTTTTCTCAATTGGGAGGAACTGTCTTCTGGACTTGTATGAGGACCAAATGAGGTAACATGTAAAATACCTACCTAGTATACACTGGCATATAAAAATACAAAAGATCTGGCTCAGAGCCTGTGGCTCATACGGCTAAGGAGCCAGGCACATACACCTGAGCTGGCAGGTTCAAATCAGCCTGAGCCCACCAAACAACAATGACGGCTGCAACCAAAAAAAAAATAACCAGGCGTGGGCACCTGTAATCCCAGCTACTTGGGAGGTGGAGGTAGAAGACTCGTATGAGCCCAGGATTTGGAGGTTGCTGTGAGCTGTGACACCACAGCACTCTACCCGGGGCGACAGCTTGAGGCTCTGTCTCAAAAAAAAATAGTAATAAAATAAAAATACAATAGATCTGTATAAGGGTTAATTCCTTCTCTTTTTGCTTCATTTATCACACCTTTTTTTCTGGTGAGTCTGGCTTTTTTTTTTTTTTTTTTTTTGGACACAGTCTCATGTTGTTGCCCAGTGAGGGTATAATGGCATCATTACAGCTTACTCTTGGGCTCAAGTGATCCTCCTGCCTCAGCCTTCTGAGTAGCTGAAACTACAAAAACGTAGCACATGCCTAGCTATTTTTTCCCATTTATTTATAAAGACCAGGTCTCACTCTTGCTTAGACTGGTCTTGCACTCCTGAGCTCAAGTGTTCTGCCCACGTTGGCCTCCCAAAGTGCTAGGATTATAGGTGTGAGTCACTGCACCTGACCAAATCTGGCTATTTTGAATGTCTCAAAGTGACTCTGACATATACAAAGCCCAAAGATCTTTGGTTTTGGTCTTCACTAAGAAATTATTTATTTTTAAGGCATTGTATGTGTATACCTATTTAAAGGATATTAGTAAGAATATTTGATATTCACATTTATTTCATAAATTTTTTCATAATTTGTAGAATCACCTGTACTAGAACTAATGAGGTTTAATTGTTTCAACATGAGCTATTAAAGATATTAACTTTTTCAGAGGACCCATGCAGAGTCTTCCAGCTTGGGTCTTTCCCTTTGCTAGAAGCTCAGTGCTTTTTATTCCTTCTGTATTCCTTTCTGGCTAATAAATCCTGTCTTAACCACTGGGTTGGAGGGAGAAATTAACTTTTTCAAGTTTGTTAAAAAGAGAATTACATATTAACCTATTTTATTTGAATTGTCTTCCTTACTTTGCTTATGTGATAAATGCAGCTAAATGCCAAGGGATCAGAAACATCAGCAGTAGTAACAGAAGAAGATGATGATGATGAAGAGACTGCTCCTCCTGTTATTGCCCCACGTCCAGATCATACAAAATCAGTGAGTGTTTGACTAGTGGACAGAGCTATATGTTTTTTGGGGTTTTTTGCAGTTTTGGCTGGGGCTGGGTTTGAACCCATCACCTCCGGTATATGGGGCCAGCACCCTATTCCTTTGAGCCACAGGTGCCACCCAAGCTTTATGTTTTAAAAAATAGTAGTCTGTGGCCAGGAGTGGTGGCTCACACTTGTAATCCCAGCACCCTGGGAAACCGAAGCAAGCGGATTGCCTGAGCTCACAAGTTCAAGACCAGTCTGAGGTAGAGTGAGAACCCGTCTCCAGAAGTATCCTGGTGCCTGTAGTTCCAGCTACTTGGGAGGCTGAGGCAAGAGAATCGCTTGAGCCAGAGTTGGAGGTTGTTGTGAGCTATGATGCCATGGTACTCCACCCAGGTGACAAAGTGAGACTCTGTCTCAACAAAACAAAACAGTAGTCTGTACGTGTATTTGACCTACAGTAATTTTTTAAAATGCTAATATTTTAATAATATTGCATTATGGAGAAATTTAACTAAGAGATCTTCATTTAAAGATCACTATCAAAAACTTTTTTAAAATTAAAATTTAAAAGCTTCATTAAAACTTAAGTAAAACTCACTGTTTTTTTTTTTTTCTTTCTACATTACATCTGTTTTTCTGGTTTTCTCTGTTTATCTCAATGTAGATAACTACTTTATCTGAAACTTAAATCTTCCTCTTACTTTCATTATATATTTTGTTTTGTGTTTTGCATTTCAAGCTTTTAATGTCATTCAAGAGGCAATTGAGAATGAAATTCCTAATCAAGTAACAGAGAATTTTAATACTTACGACCTTAGATGAAGAGAAGAACAATTGCACCTGCTCTCCTTCCCCCTGTTTTAATGAGAGTGTGACGGCACAGCTGGCAGGCAGAGCTCTGAGAACTGCCGTGGACCCTGATCTGATGATCTCTATTTTCTTTATTCTTTACAGTGGCTGTTTGAAATTAAATGTTAGTCATAAAATTGTTTTATAAAACTTGTTTGAATTAATAATATTAAAATAATATTTCAACATCAAGATCTCTTATCATAGTAAAAACATGCTTTTTAAACTTGGTGCTTTTTGCTACATTTTAGATCTGGTCAGACTTAAATCATATTCATGAACTTGCTATTTTTCTAGACAGACCATTTTTTCCCCCCCAAGACAAAATCTCATTATATTCCCCTGGGTAGAGTGCTGTGGTGTCAAAGCTCAAACTCTTGGGCTTAAGCTATTCTCTTGCTTCAGCCTCCCAAGTAGCTGGGACTATAGGCGCCCAGCACAATACCCGGCTATTTTTCTGGTTGCAGTTGTCATTGTTGTTTGGCAGGCCTGGGCTGGGTTTGAACCACTAGCTCTGGTGTGTGTGGCTGGCACCCACCACCTACCTGCTGAGCTACAGGCGCCAAGTTTTTCTTTTCTTTTTTTTAAGAACAGAGTCTCACTCTGTCAGCCAGGGTGGAGTGTGGAGTACAGTAGCATAGTCTTGGTTCATTGCAGCCTCAAACTACTGGCCTCTAGTGCTACCCTCCCAAGTAGCTCGAAGTACAGACATTTGCACTATGCCTGATCAATTTTTTTTTTTTTTGTAGACACAGGGTCTCACTGCCCTGAGTGATACTGTACTCCACCCTGCCCTCAATCTGTCAGCCAGGGTGGAATGCAGTAGTACAGTCTTGGTTCGCTGTACCCTCAAACTATTGGCCTCTAGTGATATCCTCCCAAGTAGCTGGAACTACAGACACTTGCACTATGCCTGGCCAAATTTTTTTTTTTTTTTTTTGGTAGAGACAGGGTTTCACTGCCCTTACTGGTCTAGAACTCGAGCCTCAAATAATCTTTGTACTTTGGCTCCCATTATGCCAGGATTACAGCCATTGTACCTGGGCAAACTATTAAATATATACATGCTATGAAAAAGAAAGATGTTTCATATTTATTCTTCTTAGTTATATGTCTTATATAGTCTGAAAATATTATTCTCATTATTTAGAACAATGGAAGAGACAGCTTAGTTTTGGTTAAAAATTGGGAGCTGGGTGTGGTTCATCCCTGTAATCCTAACAACTCAGGAGGCTAAAGCAGGAGCCCAGTAGTTCAAGGCCTTAGTGAGCCATAATTGCACCATTGCACTCCAGCTTGGGCACCACAAGACCCCATCTCTATTAAAAAAGAAGAAGAAGAAATAAATAAAAAACTAACATGCCAGTAGGAATATCAGAAAATATTATTCCTCAAATCAGTAATGACCTGTGTCTCTGCAGATTTACACACGGTCTGTGATTGACCCTATTCCTGCACCAGTTGGTGATTCTAATGTTGATAGTGGTGCCAAGTCTTCAGACAAACAGAAAAAGAAGACCAAGATGACAGATGAAGAAATTATGGAGAAATTAAGTATGTTACCTACATTTTACATTATTATTAAATTGTTAACAGCTCTGAAAGCCTTTGACCCATGAATATTTTAATTTATACCTTATATTTTGACTTAAGGCATAATGACCAAATTGTTTTTGCACAGGAACAATCACATCAGTTAAAGCCAAAATAATACTCTTCTTTACCTGTTGATTAGTTAGTGTATTTGAGAGCTGCTATGTATTGACTTATGAGTAATATTGCTACAATAATCAGTACCTTTGGGGGCAGTACTTTTCCCTAAGAGTCAAACCAAAGGGACATAGTTGGAAACCTTGTCAAAGGAGGTTTGTTTATGTTTCTGTGTATCTGTAGCTTCTCAGTATGAATCTGCAAAAACATCCTTAAATAAGCAAACACACATCTTTGCTCTGTAGATATGTTTGTAGGCATAAAATCCATTCCAGGGAAAATATGTTTTTCCCCTCCCCCTTACAATCTGTCAGCTATCATTGGCCTATATTGAGTATTAGAAATAATGTAAACAGTGCCAAGGAGAGGGTAGCAATAATGTCTGATGACAAGTTGCAGCAAGTGTAGTTATAAAGAATGCTGACCTAGAGGGAGAAAGGAAAAATACTTTATGGATGGATTATTTACTGTGCTCTGTGTTTATTTACTCTTGACTTCTCAGTGCTTTCAAGTATAAACCTGTTTTTGCTGGGCACACTGGTCCACTCCAGTAATCCTAGCCCTCTGGGAGACTGAGGTGGGTGGCTTGCTTGACTTCAGGAGTTCAAGACCACCCCGAGAAAGAGCAAGACTGCAAGACTCATCTCTAAAAATACAGCCAGGCGTTGTGGGCACCTATAGTCCCAGCTACTCAGGAGACTGAGGCAAGAGAATCACTTGAGCCCAAGAGTTTGAGGTTGCTGTGAGCTATGATGCTAGGGCACTCAACCCCAGGGCGACTGAGTGAGACTGCCTCAAAAAAAAAAAAAGAAAAAGAAAAAAGTAATCTTTATGGTAATAGAAGACTTAGAGGAAGAGTTAGAAAAGACATTTAAAGGGCAGCAGCTGTGTCTCTAAAGGGTAGGGTGCCAGCCCCATATGCCAGAGGTGGCAGGTTCAAACCCAGCCCTGGCCAAAAAAAAAAAAGACATTTATTCACTTGGATATCATTTATTTTTTCTAACAGTAAGTGGTTTGATAACATCACCAATTTAATACATTTTAGTAGAGTGGAAAAGTAAATTATTTATACAGAAATTGCCCACTTTTAAATTTGAATATCTGTGAATCAGATTACTCTGAGAATGACAGTTTGGTCATTCTAATTTTAATATATAATCATTTTTGAGAAAGTGATTAGTTAGAAGGTTCAACTTAAAGGAAATAATGTTTCTTCTTGCTTCTGATACTCTTAACTTTGGTTTTGTATTTGTATTTCTTCAGTATTATATGTTTGAATTATACATTGTTTTTTAAATTTAGAATTGTTTGAAAACTGCTGTTCTAAAACTTTACATTGACGTTTATTGAAAAGAATAGTGATACCAAAATTAACTTGCACTGAAAATATTTGACTGAGCTTCCAAATATTTGTTGATTTTGTTTTAAAATAGGAACTATTGTGAGCATAGGTGACCCGAAGAAAAAATATACAAGATATGAGAAAATCGGACAGGGGTAAGTATTTGTGACTATATTACCAATACTCAATATTTCCTAGATGTATAGCATGATAATTCTTCTGTCTGCTAAAATTGAGCACTTATAGTATTATATGAGTGGTACCTTTGGGGATTTATGTAAATAAATAATGTATTTATTTCTAGATGATATTAAAAACTGTGCTAGTTAGCAATGACTTTATATAATTGTTTCTTTTTAAATGTTACTGTGGTAAGGGATTAGGTAAATGGAAAAATTGTCCTTAAAACAAAAAAAGAATATTTACTGCAGGATTGCAGGCAATAAAAACATGTAATTAGGCTCGGTGCCTGTGGCTTAAGCGGCTAAAGTGCCAGCCACATACACCTGAGCTGGTGGGTTCAAATCCAGCCCGGGCCCACCAAACAACGACCGTTGCAACAAAAAATAGCCAGGCATTGTGGCTGGCGCCTCCCCAGCTACTTGGGAGGCTGAGGCAGGAGAATCACTTGAGCCCAGGAGTTAGAGGTTGCTGTGAGCTGTGATGCCACGGCACTTTACTTAGGGCAACAGCTTGAGGCTCTGTCTCAAAAAAAAAAAAAAAAAGAAGGTATTTAAATCATATCATTGAGTATTTATCTTTGGGTCTACTGATCTTCTGATTTTTGTCCAATAATTTTGTATTTTTAAATGGTAACCAAACCATTTTGTTGTACTGTTTCAAAACAAATGAACATCTTAAATTTTTAATGTTATTAAATCTCTAGGAAGTTACTGTGAATGTTAGAAGGAAAACTTACGCCTTTTAAAAAAAGTCTTCCATGTGAATTTCTGGATTTTCTTGTTTTAGGGGTTCTTTTTTTTTTTTTGGGAGACAAGTCTTAGTTTGTTACCATAGGTAGAGTGCCATGGTATCATAGTCTATAGCAACCTCTCACGCAATCCTCTTGCCTCAGCATCCCATGTGGATGGGATTATAAGTGCCTGCCTAGAGATAGGGTCTTGCTCGGGCTGGTCTTGAACTCCTACTCTCAAGAAGTCATCCTCATATGCCGGAGGTGGCGCGTTCAAACCCAGCCCGAGCCAAAAAGTGCAAAAAAAAAAAAAAAGAAAGAAAGAAAGAAATCACCCAGCTTGGCTTCCCAGAGTACAAGGAGTACAGGTGTGAGCCACTGGGCTCCAGCCTCTCCATATGAATTTCTAAATAGCTAAACTCAATTATAGTACTGATTTTTATAACAAAATATTGAAAACTATCTTACCTTTTTTTTTTTTGAGACAGAGTCTCAAACTGTTGCCCTGGGTAAAGTGCTGTGGCGTCACAGCTCACAGAAACTTCCAGCTCTTGGGCTTAAGCGATTCTATTGCCTCAGCCTCCCATGTAACTGGGATTACAAGTGCCCACCACAAAGCTCGGGTATTTTTTGGTTTTATTTGTCATTTTTTTGTCTGGCAGGCATGGTTTGAATTGGAACCTGTCAGCTCCAGTGTATGTGGCTGGTGCATTAGCCACTTGAGCTACAGGTGCGGAGCCTTTTTTTTCAGACAGAGTCTCATTAGGTCGCACTCAGTAGAATGCCATGACATCACAGGTCACAGCAAACTCTAAACTCTTGGGCTTAGATGATTCTCTTGCCTCAACCTCCCAAGTAGCTAGGACTACAGGTGCCCGCCACAATGCCCAGCTATTTTTTTTTTTTTTTTGCCATTGTTGTGTAGCTGGCCTGGGCTGGGTTGGAACCCACCAGCTTTGGTGTATGTGGCCGGCTCTGTAACCACTGTGCTATGGGTGCTAAGCCATCTTACTATTTTTGATTACAGTAATAGATAAATTATATACTGAATAATACACAGTAATGGTGAATGAGCAAGTATAATATCCATATAGATGTCTGTCGTAAACTCAGTGTCGAATAACAAAAGCAAATCACAGAAAGATGCATAAAATGACACTATTTGAAGTTTAAAAGTTAGCTGAGATGGGCGTGATGGTTCATACCTAGCATTCTACCTAGAGTAATCCTAGCACTCTGGGAGGCTGAACCAAGTGGATTTCTTGAGTTCAGGAGTTTGAGACCAGCCTTTCTCTATATAAAAAAAGAAAACTTAGCCAGGCATTGTGATGGGGGCCTGTCATCCTAGCTAGTCAGGAGGCTGAGGCCAGAGGATCACTTGAACATAAGAGTTTGAGGTTGCTGTGAGCTGGGACACAAGGGCACTCTACCAAGAGTAACTGTCTCCAAAAAAAAAAGTTAGGCTGAGTATATTTTATGGAGATATATACCTATGTCCTTTGTAGTTAAAAGTATAGAGAAATGCATGGAAAGCTACACATCAAATTATAGGTTACCTTTGGGAGAAAGGAGGATACTGTCAGAAAGGACACACAGGAATCTTCCAGTATATTTGTAATTCTTTGTTTCTTAAGCAGAGAAGTATACCCATGAGTGTTATATATATTTATCTTATTTTTCCTTACATTTTTTGAAGTCTGAAATATCAAACCTAAGTTTTGACCTCAAGGATTGCCTGTTTCTTCTTTTTCCCCTCTTTCCTTTAGTCTTTCTTTTGCTCTTTTTTTTTTTTTTCTTTAAAGACAGAGTCTCACTCTGTCCCCCTCAGTAGAGTGCCATGGCATCACAGCTCACAGTAACTTCCAGCTCTTGGGCTTAGGCAATTCTTTTGCCTCAGCCTCCTAAGTAGCTGAGGCACCCGCCACAATGCCTGGCTGTTTTTGTTTTTGTTTTTAAATATGGAACGCTTCACGAATTTGCGTGTCCTCCTTGTGCAGGGGCCATGCTAATCTTCTCTGTATCATTCCAATTTAAGTATATGTGCTGCCAAAGCGAGCACCCGGCTGGTTTTTTTTTTGCAGTTTAGCCGGGGCTGGGTTCAAACTCGCCACCCTTGGGGCTGGCACCCTACTCACTGAGCCACAGACGCCCTGCTTTTGCTCTTTTAAAGATGTTAAGTCTTAAATGTTCTTTAATCTTTTTTCAATTGCTATAAGTATAAAGTCTTTGGATGTTATAAGGTATAGTGATTAGAAACCTGAAATCTGGTTGTATCTTTTCTCACCCTAGGGCTTCTGGTACGGTTTTCACTGCAACTGATGTGGCGTTGGGACAGGAGGTAGCTACTTTATATACTTTTAAATGTTACCATTGGTGTTTCAGATAGGAAGAAACTAGATAAAACAGAATAATCAGAAATCTTTTCTTAAATTGAACATGTTGAAAGAACTATTCTGTGTAATTTTATAGCACTCTGTCATTAGGGGAACAAAGAAGGAATTATGAGTTCAGTGTCATAAATAAATATTAAAAAATTATTTTCTCAGCTTAAAAAGTAAAGAGGATTAATTCCTGGTGCTGTACTGACCTTGGATTGCTTAATCGACTTTAGTATAATTCTAGGCTGCCCATGGTGGCTCATGCCTATAATCCCAGCACTTTGAGAGGATCGCTTGAGGCTAGGAATTCAAGACCAGCCTGAGCAAGATAGTAAGACTCCATCTCTACACAAATAAGGAAAACTGGCCAGGTGTGGTGGTACACACCTGAAGTCCCAGCTATTGGAAAGGCTGAGGCAGGAGGATAGCCTGAACCCAGTAGTTCAAAGTTGCAGTGAGCTATGATTACACCACTGCACTACAGCGTGGGCAGCAGAGCAAGACTCTGTCTCAAAAAAAAAAAGGTCTAAAAATACTAATAGTTAGGCTTTATGCATTACAAAGCATTGTGCATAGGCAATATGGAAATAAAAGTATTATCTATGAATAATTACATTGTGTAGTTCAGTACTTGTACAATAAATTATTAACTGATTGGTATTTATAATTTTCTAAGAGAATTAGGAAACCTGTTCCGATTTTTTTTCTGTTTTGTTTTCATCATAGGTTGCTATCAAACAGATTAATTTACAGAAACAGCCAAAGAAGGAATTAATCATTAATGAGATTCTAGTGATGAAAGAATTAAAGAATCCTAACATAGTTAACTTCTTAGACAGGTAAGTATGAATATTTCTTAAACATTGAGATTAAAAATGTGGAAATTTTGGGTGGCGCCTCTGGCTCAGTGAGTAGGGCGCCAGCCCCATATGCTGAGGGTGGCAGGTTCAAACCTGGCCCTGGCCAAACTGCAACAAAAAAATAGCCAGGAATTGTGGTGGGCACCTGCAGTCCCAGCTACTTGGGAGGCTGAGGCAGGAGAATCATCTAAGCCCAAGAGTTGGAGGTTGCTGTGAGCTGTCACTCCACAACACTCTACCAAGGGCAATGAAGTGAGACTCAGTCTCTTAAAAAAAAAAAAAAATGTGGAAATTTTAAGTCTTATGGTTTGCAGAAATTAGTCACTTGAGGGTAAAATGACAATGCTGAGAAGTAATTGAAGGAGGAAGAGGAGAGGTAAAAATAGCATATTACAGTTTTAGAAAGTTCTTTGTCTACTTGGCTGGTGAGAAAAGACAATTAAATTAAGGACACAGGTGATAGTGTTTATATTGTAAATTGTTGAAGCAAAAACATTAAGGAATAGTTGGCTATGATTCATGTCTTGACTGGCAAGTGACTGGACATACAGTTTTTTTTTTATTGTTTTTTTTTAAATTTATTATTGGGGTTCATTGAGGGTACAAGAAACCAGGTTTCACCGATTGCATTTGTTAGGTAAAGTCCCTCTTATAATTGTGTCTTGCCCCCAAAAGGTTGGATACACAGTTTTTAAACTATTAGATCAATTTTTATTTCAGATACAGTCCTTCATGGACTAATTCTATATGTCTATCAAAACTTCATTTAACTTAGGGATTGATGTTAAACAGTGGGACTGAAAAGCAGTATAGGAAATTATGTTTATTATTATACCTGTGTTTTTATTTTTTATATAATAATTCAGCAAATCAGCTGTGTTTTTAAAGAAGCGATCATATATATGAATAAAAGATGATTAATTGAAAATGAAAACAGTTGTTGTATTAGAGATAGAACATTGTAGGTGATTTTCTTCCATATTTAAATTTGTTTAGACTAAGGAAAATAATATATTTTGAGGCTTTAGCTTTAGTTATGAGGACCATGTTTATGGAAATAAACTTTTCCTGTACATGTCCCTGCTTTTAAAAAGTGTTTCATGTCATTGTGGCATGGTGGTTAAAATAATCTATAGGCTTTGGAATCACTGATACTTGGGTTCAGATTCTGATTCTGTCACTAGTTATATAACCTCTCCAAGCTTCTATTACTTTACCTATAAAACAGCACTAACAATTTTTGCCTCATAGGTTATTTTAATTGCAATAATCTATGTATATTCTCTTAATTACAATCGTGGGCAAACTATAATTTTAAGATGGTTTAGGATCATAATGACTCTCAGTTTTATTTTTCTTTGCTGTTACCTAGCACCTTTTCAGTTTTTTTCCTAGTTCTCAAGCTACCAGCTCTCTTGTTTTATTTAGAGGGTGTTTAACCTGTAAATTCTTCAACATAGAATACTTTGTTTTTACAAAAATAAAAATGTGAGCATATTTTGTTATCTTCTGATTTTAGTTACCTGGTGGGAGATGAATTGTTTGTGGTAATGGAGTACCTTGCTGGTGGGTCACTTACTGATGTTGTAACAGAAACCTGCATGGATGAAGCACAGATTGCTGCTGTATGCAGAGAGGTGGGTTTGCTTCCCTTTTGATATGGTAAAGTAATGTGTAGTTCCAGCAGGAGGTGAAAAAAGGAAAGTTTTTCTGTATGGGTAATTATTGTCATGTGAGATGCTTTTTCTGTACACGTATTCTCTGCAAGTGTCTCCATACCATTTGATTCTACATGAGACTTTCAGTCCTCCCTTTTAAGTATGAGATAATTTGGGAATGAATTATGGACCTTTAAAGAGCTAGATTCACAGGTAAATTTTAGTAAGGTGGTGATGATAGTTTACCATCCTAACAAGATGCATTCAAGAATCAAACAGCACACTATTAAAAATAATACCAGTTAGCAGAGGATGCTGGGAGCATCTCCGGTGAAGCAGGACACATGTTACCTTAAATATCAATAAGTCTACTTCTGGTTTTATGTGAGTTCACTCATGTGAAGAAACTGTTGCTTTATATTCATTAATGCATTTCTAGATGCATTGTTTGCTTAAGCCAGTAGAACTTTGCCAGATTGCCTAAAGTCTAAGCCAAAAACAAGCCTTCCTTCTTATATTTATATCTAATCTTTTTCTACAGATGAGACTTGGGTTAAGGGTTTGCTTTTTATCATTGAAATTTTGAATATCATGGCTCGGCGCCTGTGGCTCAAGCAGCTAAGGCGCAAGCCACATACACCTAAGGTGGCGGGCTCGAATCCCCAGCCCGGGCCCACCAAACAACAATGATGGCTGCAACCAAAAAATGGCCAGGCGTTGTGGCGGGCACCTGTAGTCCCAGCTACTTGGGAGGCTGAGGCAGGAGACTCGCTTGAGCCCAGGAGTTGGAGGTTGCTGTGAGCGCGATGATGCTGCCATGGCACTCTACCCAGGGGGATAGCTTGAGGCTCCGTCTCCAAAAAAAAAAAAAAGAAAAGAAAGAAATTTTGAATATTATTAAGAATCATTGTCAAAAGGGTAATTTTGTAAATTTAATTAAAAAATTTGTAAGACCACGGGATGGATGCCCTAAAAGCCCTGACTTGAACACTACTACCATGAAATCTTTGCATATAACAAAATTGCATGTATACTCCATAAATTTGTACACATAAAAAATAAAAAGTGAGTCTAAGGAAATAAATAAATTATCAGACTATTGTGTTTTCTATGATTTGGCTTTCAGCAGTTTTACAGTGACATTTAAGTGAATTATGAACTTTGTTCATGTTACGATATATGTTTTCCTTTTACACCTTTCATTCACGTGTTAAAAAAATATTCTTTGAAAATTTTAATTCTAAGTTAATTATGTTCTACCTGAGGGGTTGAAAGGAAGTAAGAACTCTTAAATGATTCTTAGTATGATATTCCTTAACAAAGAATATCAGTCACTTAAAAGCTGATAAAGGCTTGGCGCCTGTGGCTCAGGTGGCTAAGGCGCCAGCCACATACACCTAAGGTGACAGGTTCGAATCCAGCCCAGGCAGCCAAACAACAATGATGACTGCAACCAAAAAAATAGCTGGGCGTTGTGGCGGGCGACTGTAGTCCCAGCTACTTGTGAGGCGGAGGCAGGAGACACGTTTGAGCCCAGGAGTTAGAGATTACTGTGAGCTGTGATGCCGTAGCACTCTACCCAGGGGGACAGCTTGAGGCTCTGTCTCCAAAAAATAAATAAATAAATAAAAGCTGATAAAAATAAGTTGTCTATTTATAACACATTTATTTTTCTCATACATTTTCCAAAATTGATATAAAAATTAATTAGAGTTCTCTAATTGCCATGGGTTTTCTTCTGTGCACCAAAACTTTTTGACAAGATTATTTGTTCAGGTATTTTTCTGGAGTTTTGTTCTTTTTAAAAACCTGAGTAATACCTAGTCAATGTAATGTAGTAAAACCTGATGTATCTGTTTTTCCTTAAATGAGTAATAGAAAATTTTGAATGAGATTTTTAGTTGTTTTAAATAATGTACAGACTTTATTTGTTCTAATCATTTATATTAAAAAAACACCAGGCAAGCAAATTTTTGAGCGCTTATCTCATTCTTGTGTTTAAAGAATGGAGGAGTTTATCTTTTTTGACTCCATGCTTTCTGAAATGTGGCATAAAGGGGAAATTATTCTTTCATTATTTGTGTCCAGGTTGGGGATAATAGAGCTTAATGTAAAATTCACCACAGAAAAAAACGAAGAAGGCATTTTGAGTTACATTGATGAACAGCTAAATGGAGCCAGGCCACTCAGAATCTTACCCACTTATATTAGTGGCTTGCATTAATTAGATTTTGGAGTATCTCACATTCATGTGGGAATGATCACAAATGTATTCATTACTCTTGATATGATTTCTGAAGAGTTCATGCATGTTTACCAAGTACTGTACATCTTTAGGCATTTAAACCTGAAAAAGCTTAGAAATTGTATAGATCCACCCATTATCATATTTATACATACATACACATATACATGGTTTTGCTCTTTTGCCCTGGGTAGAGTATAATGGCTTTATTGTAGTTCACAATAACCTCAAACTCCTGGGCTTAAGCAATATGTCTGCCTTAGCCTCTCAGGTAGCTGGGACTACAGGCACATACCTGAATGTCCAGCTGATTTTCTATTTTTAGTAAAGGTATGTTCTCACTCTTGATAGGGCTGGTCTTGAACTCTTGAGCTCAAGCAGTCCTATTACCTTAGCCTCCCAAAGTGCTAGGATTATAGGCATGAGCCACTGCACCTGACCCAGTCATCATTTTGTAAGTGAGACTGTTGAAGACTGAGTGGTGGTCTCAGGGTTTTACCTATTCAGTGGCCGAGGAAGGACAGGATAAAACATTACTTAATAATGTCTCTGGGTAAAATGACAGAGTGGGAGCATGTCTAATTAAGGTATCTTATTTTCATAACTTTGCGTATGAGGGGATTTCTTTTTTTTTTTTTGAGACAGAGCCTCAAGCTGTCCCCCTGGGTAGAGTGCCGTGGCATAGCTCACAGCAATCCAACTCCTGGGCTCAAGTGAGTCTCCTGCCTCCACCTCCCAAGTTGCTGGGACCACAGGCACCCGCCACAACGCCTGGCTATTGTTTTTTGGTTGCAGCCATCATTGTTGTTTGGCAGGCCCGGGCTGGATTCGAACCTGCCACCTTAGGTGTATGTGGCTGGCGCCTTAGCCACTTGAGCCACAGGTGCCAAGCCTGAGAGGATTTCTTTATGAGCTTAACTATTAGAGAGTCTTCTGCTGGATAGTAGAGGCAGTGTTCAAGCCATAACTACTGTTTGTGAACTTCCCTTAGACTTTTGAGGGACTGTTTAATTAATGGGTGTTTTTCTTCTGTTCAGTGTTTACAGGCATTGGAGTTTTTACATGCCAATCAAGTAATCCACAGAGACATCAAAAGTGACAATGTGCTTTTGGGGATGGAAGGATCAGTTAAACTTAGTGAGTAACAAATAACATATATTTATTATAATTTCCTGCCTTTCATTTTAATTTTAAAAACCCTTCTGTGTTAATATTTTTATGATTTAATATATGAAGAGGTGGGAACTAGTGGTAGAGAATATTGACTCAAGCCAGTAGACCAATTCTAATACATGCCCACATAAGAGAAAAACTATTCAGTTCAAGATGGGAGGAGGGGGTATAGGGGATGGGTGAGGAGGATGAGTGTACTCCCACTTAATGGGCACAATTTAAAGGTATATGACACACCTTCTGGGTGTGGGACACAACTAGAGCAGGGTCTCTTCTTAACAAATGCAAACATTGTAACCTAATTGTACCCTCACATTAATCTGAACTTTAAAAACTCCAAAGGAAAAAAAAAAAGGATATGGACTCTTAACTGGATAGGTTGGGTTTAAATAGCAATCAATCCTTGCTGAATCATTGTGAGCAAGTAACTTAATCTCTTTGTGTCTGATTTCTCATTTGTTCAGTAAGGAAAATAATAATACCTATCTTGGAGAATTCTTTGGAAGATTAAAAATTTTAAATAGGAGCAGTGCTTGGGACCTATTATAATGTTGGTGGTCTCTTATAGATATGAATTTGTTTCTGCCATCTGTTGAAGTAGTTTTTCTCATTGTGCTGTTAGAGCCTGCCCTAATCAGGGAAGGGCTCTATGACCCTGACCCTGACCTCAGGGATGACAAGAAAAAAAATCCCACATAAATAACTTTCTCTAATTATGTTCTGAATCAGATGTAGTAGAGTCATGACAAATCTTGAGCCTCTCTTTCCTCTATTGGTTATAATCTTGTTCCCTCCAAACTATGCCCACTGGAGGATTCAACTCAACCCTTAAATGGAGGTTCTACAGTTCTGCAAAATTCAAGATATTTTTTGGATCAAGAGACCAAAAACTTTTTCTTCTGTTCTGCTAGAGGATTTGGCTTCTTTTTCAACATCTCTTTTATTTTAAACCACAATTTCCTGTGATTATTTAATTGGATGGTCAGAATATAAGATTGCTAATTTTAGTAATCTTAGTAGCAAGTTCTCGTACACTTTGGTGTAAACCGATTTAGACATTTTTTCCTGATTTTGCCCCTTACTAGATGAATGACCTTAGGTAAGTTATCTTTAAGTTGTTTTTATACGTATGTTTCCTCATTTGTAAAATGGGAATAATTATAATGATAAATGTATCTGTTTGTGGTTATAAGAAGGATTAATATTTTAATTCTTATAGGGTACTTGGAACAGTACCTGGCTTCACATAAGCACTCATTTTAGTTACAAAAATTATTTGACCAGTTATTCTTTTAGATACCACAGTAAGTACAAGGATGTTCTCTGCAACATTGTAAAGAAAAACTAAAACTATCTAAATATTACATGATAAGAGCGTGTTTAAGTAAATTATGTTTGGGGTTTTTGTTGTTTAGAGACAAAGTCTCACTCTGTTTTATGGGCTAGAGTGCCATGGCCTCAGCCTACCTCAGTGCAACCTCAAACTTCTGGGCTCAAGCAGTCTTCCTGCTTTGCCCGATGTGGTGACTCACACCTGTAATCCTAGCACTTTGAGAGGCTGAGGTAAGTGGATTGTTGAACTCAGAAGTTGGAGACCAGCCTGAGCAAGAGCAAGACCAAGACCTGTCTCTACTAAAAATAGAAAAACTAGCTAGGCATTGTGGTGGGTGCATGTAGTCCCAGCTACTCAGGAGGCTGAAGCAAGAGGATTGCTTGAGCCCGGGAGTGTAAGGTTGTTGTGAGGTAGGATACCATGGCACTCTACCCATGGCAACAGAACAAGACTGTGTATTAAAAAAAAATCCTCCTATTTCAGCCTCCCAAGTAGCTGGGGCTACAGGCTCCTGCTAGAACGCTGGGCTAGTTGTTCTGTTTTCTTTTTTTTGTTTTTTTTGAGACAGAGCCTCAAGCTATCCTCCTGGGTAGAGTGCCATGGCATCATGCTCACAGCAACCTCCAACTCCTGGGCTCAAGTGAGTCTCCTGCCTCAGCCTCCCAAGTAGCTGGGACCACAGGCACTCGCCACAACGCCTGGCCATTTTTTGGTTGCAGCCATCATTGTTGTTTGGCGGGCCCGAGCTGGGGATTCAAACCCACTACCTTAAGTGTATGTGGCTGGCGCCTTAGCCGCTTAAGCCACAGGCGCCGAGCCTGTTCTGTTTTCAATAAAGATGAGGTCTCACTCTTGCCCAGGCTGGTCTCAAGAATTCCTAAGCTCAGGGAATTGTCCAGCTCTCTTCTGGACATCCCAGAATATTAGGATTATAGGTGTGGGCCAATTTACAATAATTTAATATTTTGTAGTTTGAGACAGATTAATATGCTAATATGAAAAGAGCTCTTCATATGAAAAGAGCTCTAAATAAAGTTTGGGCAGCGCCTGTGGCTCAGTGAGTAGGGCACCGGCCCCATATACCAAGGTGGTAGGTTCAAACCCAGCCCCAGCCAAACTGCAACAAAAAGTAGCCAGGCGTTGTGGTAGACACCTGTAGTCCCAGCTACTTGGGAGGCTGAGGCAGGAGAATTGCCTAAGCCCAGGAGTTAGAGGTTGCTGTGAGCGGTGACTCAACAGCACTCTACCAGGGGCAATAAAGTGAGACTTGGTCTCTAAAAAAAAAATAAAGTAAAATAAAAGTTAAGTTTAAAAAAGATTACAAATAACCTAGTTGGGTAAAACCAAGGAATTCATAGATATTATTCATACATGTGTAAATGCATAACAAAAGGTATAAAGCTTACAAACCTAAATGTTAACAGTGATTACAGTATGGAGTAGAATGGGTTTAATAGTGGAAAGAAGGAAGAAATTCTAAATACTAATCCTTACTTTCCCTCTAAAATAACATAATTAACCTTGAAGACTAAACTAGGTATCTGCTCTTTATTTATAAAAAAGGTAGTTGAGTGGATTAATGCTAGTGAGGACCCTAACAATCATTGGAATCAAATGCATTTTTTTCCTGGACTCCCTGAAATTAGATGCTTAGCGACTCTAGCTTATGTTTACTGTATTTGAAAGCAGCTTCCATGTCTTGACCTTTGCCTGATACACTGCATTTAGTTTTGTTGTCTACCTTTGATTACTTTTTCTTTTAGATTCTTTCAATTTTATTAAAAATTCTAGGATAGGCTCCGCGCCTGTGGCTCAAGCGGCTAAGGCATACACCTAAAGTGGTAGGTTCAAATCCAGCCTGGGGCCACCAAACAACAATAATGGCTGCAACCAAAAAATAGCTGGGCCACTTGTGGCAGGCGCCTGTGGTCCCAGCTACTTGGGAGGCTGAGGCAGGAGACTCGCTTGAGCCCAGGAGTTGGAGGTTGCTGTGAGCAGTGAAGCCATGGCACTCTACCCAGGGGGACAACTTGAGGCTCTGTCTCAAAAAAAAAAAAAAAAAAAAAATTCTAGGATAGAATTAATAGAATAAAAGGCCTCCTGATAATTTGTACTCTGCTTATGGGAGGTAAAAGTGAGAGTATATAACATATCAAAATAAGCCCAGCCAGGTACAGTGGTGTAATGTACGTAAGTAGTTTCAGCTACTTGAGAGGTTGAGACAGGGATTGCTTAAGCCTAGGAGTTGGGCAACATAGTAGTAAAGCCCCATCTCTTAAAAAACAATTTTAAGCCCCATTCTGGTTTATTTTATGAAGAAAATCTTTAAAACAAGAGGCTAAATGTTAACATGTAATTAATTATGTCATTTGAAGTGAACTGTCTTAATAAAAATCATTCTTGAAAATCATTAACTCTAGATGTTTTGTTTTGTTTTATCTTATAGCTGACTTTGGTTTCTGTGCCCAGATTACCCCTGAACAGAGTAAACGCAGTACCATGGTAGGAACGCCATACTGGATGGCACCAGAGGTGGTTACACGGAAAGCTTATGGCCCTAAAGTTGACATATGGTCTCTGGGTATCATGGCTATTGAGATGGTAGAAGGAGAGCCTCCATACCTCAATGAAAATCCCTTGAGGGTAAGATCAGCTAAATACTAAACCTTATTGTAAGAAAAATACTTTTCTTTAAAACATGTACTTAAAACTTGTTTTAAGAACTAGCCAAGAATTTAATGTATAAAAAATTGATTAAAACCTAGTCTCTGTCCTTATTCTGCATCTAAAAATCATTTGCCTTCTGAGTTACAGATTTAAACTTATAAAGCTATGTGATTTCTTATTTATTTAAGACAAAGTCTCACTTTGTTGACCTTGGTAGAGTGCTTTGGTGACATAGCTCACAGCAACCTCAAACTCTAGGGCTCAAGTAATTCTCTTGCCTCAGCCTCTCCAGTAGCTGGGACTACAAGTACCGCCACAGTGCCCAGCTATTTTTTTGTTTTTTTTTTTTTGAGACAGAGCCTCAAGCTATCCCCCTGGGTAGAGTGCCTGTGGCAAACAGCTCACAGCAACCTCCAACTCCTAGGCTTAAGCGAGTCTCCTGCCTCTGCTTCCCAAGTAGCTGGGACTACAGGCGCCCGCCACAACGCCCGGCTATTTTTTGGTTGCAGCCATCATTGTTGTTTGGCAGGTCCGGGGCTGGATTCGAAACCGCCACCTTAGGTGTATGTGGCTGGCGCCTTAGCCAATTGAGCCACAGGCACCGAGCCAGTGCCCAGCTATTTTTAGAGACAGGGTCTCAATCTAGTTCAGGCTGGTCTCGGACCTTGTGAGCGTAGGTGATCTGCCTGCCTGAGCCTCCTGAAGTGCTGGGATTATAGGCATGAGCCCCCATGCCTGGCTCTAATTTCTTATTTTAAATATAAAGTTTGGCTCTAGTTTTGAGCTCTCTCTAAATCTTTTTTTCTTCTCCTTTTAAATTACTAAATATGGCTAAGCATTATGTGTTATTAATGACGTGCGAATCGATCAAAAAGAATGATAAGTGTTGGTGAGAATATGGAAAAATTAGAACCCTCTTACATTGCTGGCAGGAGTCAAAAATGGTGCAGATGGTTTGAAAAACAATTTCACAAAAAATGAATATTGAGTTGCCATATGACCTAGCAGTTCCTCTACTGGGTACATTTCTGAGAGAATTATAAGCATACTTCTACCAAAAAACTTGCACATAAATGTTGATAGCAGCATTATGCTTCATAACTAAAAAGTAGAAACAACCTAAGTGTCTGTCAACTGATGAACAGTGGACTATTACTTGGCCATACAGAGAAAGGAAGTACCAATATATGTTTTTGTTTTTGTTTTTGTTTTTTTTGAGGCGGAGCCTCAAGCTGTCCCCCTGGGTAGAGTGCCATGGCATCACGCTCACAGCAACCTCCAACTCCTGGGCTCAAGCGAGTCTCTTGCCT